TCTTTAAGGTGAAAATGAAAGAGAAATTTGTATTTTGTATCGACACAAATAGGTGGGTTTTCTTCAGGTTTTTTTCCCCCACACCCTTTTTTTCCACCCAACAGATCTATTTAAACATATTTTTAAAAAGGAAGTGTATTCCTTACCCCTGAGCTTTTCAAGTAGTTAATATTCACCTAATTCTCACCAGGTGGCTGGTTCCAGTGATCATTAGAGAACCTTGTGGTGTATCCCTGAGCCCTTTTTGTGTTGGCTGGTGGGAGGATAACCTGGTTTTCTGGGATGCTGCCCAGAGCAATGTGGAAGGGGAGAGGGAGTCTGACCCTTTGGGCAGGAGTCTTGGAAGTAAAGTCTGGTGTTGCTGGGTGGCCTCTCTAACTGCCTCACTGTGTATTTGGGGGTTCCCCTGTTTTTATTTATTACTGTTTCTGAAATAAGCATTGCAAGCTCGGTATTTTTGCCAGAGACCTTTTTTTTATTGCTTTATAGAACTGTTTCCAAGCAGAAAGACAGGTCATGGATTACTTACATGACTTTAGCACATGACTTAAATTATATAGCATGTGATACAAATTTTAACACTTTACAGCTCTGCTGAGTTTTGAGAAATCAGGGTCTTCAGGAGGTTCTGAGTTTGTCCTATAAAATAATCAGATGAACGGAGAGCTTTAGCTACTCAATATACAATGAGTGATAGAGAATGAGAACTGCTTGGGACGTTTTAACTCCTTGGGACACGCTGAGTTAGTACTGCTGTAACACAGGGGCTTTCCACAGAGTACTACCTTACCCAGTGCAGTCTGTTTTCACATGCTGTGGCTTGGTGCCTATACTGGCATGGACAGCCTGCCTGAGGTGCTGTGTGTCCTCCTCGCACTCTTACTCTGCTTTTTCACTGGAACTGTCCTCTTGGGAGCATTAATAATGTTATCCTGAGAAGCTGCTGAGCTCCCTGGTCTGCCCTCAAGGGTAGAGCTGTAAAAACAGCACATTACAGCAAGGGGACAACAGGTTGTGGTGCTGAGAGGTGTTAACACTGTTGTCGATAGAATTCATGACTTGATCAACCTTGTTCACTGAGGAAGGAATCATTTCTCAGTCCCTGGATCAAATGTGGGAGCTGTAAGTAAGTCTAACCTGTCTCGAGTAATGATTTCCACCATGACTTTATGTGAAAAACATCTCTAGTTTATGACTGCAGAATGGGGTCACTTGTGCCTTGCCTTTTCCTATATTGCAGATGTTTGTTTTGTTCACTGCATTAACATCAAGCCATTTGATCTGTTTGGAATGGCATGTGCACCAGGTATCGAAGTCACCAAAGGGTGCGAGAAACAAAGAGATTTTGCTTCTTCATGTCATGTTCACCCCATATTTACTCTACGGTGAGAGCTCTGTTAGCACAGGAAACTGCTTAATGTGTTTGTTTTTCCATTGTGCTTAGCATGATAGCTACCTGTTTATTTCTGCTGAAGAGGATTACAGGCATTTTTCAATTATGAATGATGCACACAAGCGTTATTTAATCTGTTTTCTTCAGACCTATAGAGTGTTAGTCGGTCTTGAGCAAAAGCATCTTGTTCAGGAAACAACATTTGTAGTAGTGGTACTGTGGGTATTCTAGGGCAGTTTCAGGATGCTTTTCCATCTGTCTTTTAGTACTCACTGTGCAGCAAGCTCGTGGCCAGCAGCATCACAGGTCTGTGTTTGTGCCTGAAATTCCTGTGCTTGAGAAGTTGCCATTCATGGTGTTTCTTCAGTGCCAGGGTCTTGAAGGAGGAGGGGGAAACTCATGACTTTTCTCTCACAGGAAAAGAAAAACTTTGCCCAGCTTTGGCAGGTGTTTGTTGGGTGAAGCTGAAGTGCCAAGACCCAGTTGCTGTTGTATGATCTTTCTCTTACTCTGTAGCCCAGGCATCAGCAGAAGTGTGGCATGTAAAATCAGTCTGAAGAATTCATTGCTGTTTTGCTTCGGGATATATTCATAAGATAATAAAGATACACTGTTGTAACACATATTATATAACAAAGAAAGATAAAAGCAGTTTGCAGAAGGATATAAGCTCAAGCTTCATGACATGGAATCATAAAGCAGGTCAGAAGGACACTTCTTATTCTGAAGATTTTTGTCCTTTTTTTCCTTCAGCTATTTTTTGCCCTTCCTTTCTTTTGAGTATCAGCTGTTGTCAGAGACAGGATTCTTGTATGGGTGAATCTGTGATCTCTACCAGCGTAGTAGCTGCAGGCCAGTTAAACCAGAGATGTACAGCAACGGGGATAGAACTTGACATTTTGGGTTTCAGAAACCTCCTTTTCTCTGTGAACACAGCCAGAAAAAGGATACTGAGAAATGAAGAAAAAAGAAAAAGAGGAAATTCAAGGTGGGATTTTTAGTTTGGGATTTTTTTTAAGAATTTGAAGAAGAAAAAGATGTAAGAAAACTTCTGTTCTGAAGTCTGAACCCTTTCACAAAATGAGAAAACTTTTAGGCACTTTTCTAATGGTCTTGCTAAGATTCTGAAACAGCTGTAGTGAAGCATGAGGGAACCATGTGAGAGTATAAGATAAAAAGAGGGAAAACATGTGGAAGGAAAATAAAGCTATATCCCATTTAGGTCTGAACTGACATCTCTGCAAGTGATACTTGTTTGAATGTGATTTTTAAGGAAACATGAGATTCTACTCCTTATACCCTTGGAGAAAACATGATTACAGATGCATGGAGCATTTGCTTGCCAGCCCCCAAAGAAATAACGTGCCTGTTGATTTCATGCTATTGAAGAACACAGCACACTTGCAGAATGAGCTATCAAAAAGACTCTGTGTGCATCTATACAGTCATACCACCTCAGCAGATTAAAGGGGCGCTGCCAGGACCGAGGTTAAGGATTGATCTACTTTGACACAAAGTCCCAAAAGGAAGAGTTCTAACCTTTGGGATTCTTTCTATCTATTTGCCTTCTTCAAACTGATTGCAGCTGTCACCAGAAATAAAACCAATGTAAACAAAATAAAACTCTTTACTGCTTATGGTTAGGCAGCAATAAATAAAACAGTGCAAGGTTTTCTTACATTCTTGTACTTAACTGCTGGTAGCATTTTAATGATTTTTTTTTTAAGTGGATTTTTTTTTGTGAAACCTGGATAAATGGAGAAGATTCAGGAATGTGTCTCACAAGAGGCTCTGTATTTTTAGTGTTTGTTGTTGACTTGTCAGATGCCAGACAGAACCTACAGAGTCTTTGGGTCTACTGTGCTGTGATCATTATTTATACGAGATCCAAAGTGTACAGAGCACCCCTTCGGGCATATAAAAGTTCATGCTTCAAAGAGCTTACAGCCTTCAGGGCTAATAGTATTATGTCCAGTGACATCTAAGCTGTATATATTTCAAAGCTGCTTTTTCTGCTTTTATAATTTTATTGCATTTCTTACCCTAGCTGATTGTTGCAAGTTCTGGAGTATTGTGATGAGGAAAGGATTTTCAATTTCCATTTGCAACACCAAACCAAACCATTTTGTCTCTAGAGAAGTGCACAAAAATAAGTCTGGAACACAGCAGAGTAGTTCAAAGGCCAAATAAACAGAAAAAAAGAAAGGTGGTTTGTTGTAGTTTATCTCAACAAAGTTGGCTAAGAAGATAATGAGGTTTCTAAGATTCCTAATTAGTCATGGGGAGGAAGGACAAGAAGAGATGTGATTGTGAAACTTGGGCAGTGGATTCCAGTTTTCTTGTCTGGCCATTAAATTTGTGATATTTTTACAATAACACACATTTTGGATGTGCTGTTGTCAGTTATGTCCCCTTCCTAAGAATGAGCTCCAGGCTGCTTCTGTGCTCCACACAATAGTGTGTTCCCTGTTGGGCACAAGGTTCCTTCTCAGGGTTTTCTTCTTTTGTCTCTACTCCTTTCTTAATATATTGATACATAGCCATAATGTGATTAAACTCTGCTATTCCTCATGGCATTGAGGTCATCAGCAGGCAGTAAAGTACAGAGGAGCTCCTTTGCATTTGATGTGTTGCCCACTGGGAGCAGTCCATCCAGAAACGATCAACACTGCTGAGGTTCTGGAGCTGACTGGTGGGGAAAAAAAAGAGAAATGTACTCCATGAATGAGATACATGCCAGTATTTATCTCCCAAAAGTAAATTGGCAAGTAACTTAAATAATGGAACATGTTCCCAGAAATTGTGAGTTATTCCTTCAATACCTCTGAAGAGGCAAAAGGTTAAATAAAAAAAAGTACTGCATTATTGGTTGTAAATTCCTTGGCTGCGTGCAAGTAAGGGACTGAACTGATGGGTTTAATTTGGAAGTTGTGGAGCTCAACAGGGTTAATCTTTCCTGCTGCCTTCCCGTCCTCTCTCTGGTCTGGATCTCACCGTTGCAGAGGACGTGGGCTGGGTGACAGAAGGAATGCTGCAGGTTTTGGTCTGGCACTGCAGGCAATTACATTGTCAAAAACTGGTGATTTTTTTCTATATCCTCTCACAAAGCTTTTTCCCTTTCTTTTGTCCAAGTGACAGTAAATTAAATAAACTTAAAAATATGAATAGCAATGAGATGCCAAAGCCCAGCTCCATTAGGGCTGAAAGGGGTCCAGCTTTACTGACTGCAGTGGCAGCACCAGATTTATGGCCATATCAGTAAGGAATGAACTGGTCCAAGATAACTATTGTTTATCACAGCAGTTTTCCTCTATGAAAGCAGAAGAAGATGGAGAAAAATCAGCTCTGTGTTTTTAGGCTTTGCAGGGCTGGTAATTTGGCTAATGTTTTAAAGAATTCAGAGGACACTTTCTTTTGATTTAACCTTCCTCACTTTATTTTATTACACCACCTATCTTTGGCATTTGGTGAAGATCTATTGTAAATGTGAGAACTAAGCAGCTTGTTAGATAACATATTTTTTTTTTTTCCCTTTAGAAGATTAAACTGAGAATGTTCTGCCTGATGCCAGAGTAGATGTAACCAATCCTGTATCCTTTGCATGTAGGTCAGTCAGAGGGACAATTCAGCACTGGATCCCATTATCCATGGGTTGAAGGGCGTCGTACATCACGGTAAGTAGCTGTTTAAACTTTCTTCTTGCTGGGAAGGGGAGAAGGGCAGGAATATTGTCCTTACGGGATCAGGTCACCCCTGGAAGGACGCAGTGAGCCTACACATTCCTCATTCACTGATGTTTAAGGGCATCACAGCCATTATTTGATTGGTAAAGATCAGAGTCATTTGTTACCTAAAAATGGTTTGGGGTTAACAGTAAACAATTTGTTTCTTTTCAGTCAGTGCTCCAGAATGCGTAAGTTATCAATCAAAACCTGCTGCAATATATCATTCATATTAGTACTTCGAAGGCAGCGTGGATGCTCCACTCTGTTATTTATCTTCTGTTTGCTCTAAAAATACTCCTCTCTGAAGTTTCTATTTGTTTATAAATTATTTGTCTTTCAAATTTAGGGAGCTGATAATGAAACAGAAAATTAACTATCTATGAAAATTAATTAAACTTTGCAGCAGATGAACATCTTTCTAATGCTGACATAAATACGATCATTCAGCTGTTCTGATGCATATACCTATTATCCTTGAACTTATAGCAGGTACTGAAATAAATATTAATATATTTTATACTTTTATAACCAATTTTTTACTTAGGAATTTTCCTGAAGCCTTACCACAGGCAATGCATCATCAGCAGTGACATCAAGATGCTCTGGTTCCCAAAGTACTCTTGTCAGGTTTTAATATAATGATTTGTAAAGTTTTAATAATCTCATTGTAATTCAAAAGGCATCTGCTGGAATGGTGCTCGGTACAATAATAAATCTCCGTCCCATCTATGGTGCTGTGATAAAACATCTTTGCACCTTTTCCGAGGATTGTCTTTAGACATTAGCTAGTGCTGTAGAGCTTAACAAACGTTTTTTTTTCTCTTGACTGCAAACCTAAAACTAGTTGACACTCTTGGATTAAAACAAATAGGATTTTGGATTAATTGTTCTACTTTCAGAATCATTTAAGATTGCAACTGGGAAGGCCAGTAAATCTAAAGAAGTAAAAAATGGGTTAAATGATAACATACCATAAAGTCCTTCATTTAGAGAATTTTCCTTAGGTTTTGCTCTTTATAAATTGCAGTGTTCTGCCGTGAAATAAAAACAACACACTGAGCTGAAAAACTGGTGTTGTTTTCCACAAAAATTGGTGTTATTACCTCGCTCCCACTGGGTAACAAAACAGGCTCACAAAAGCAAAGCGAGGACAAGTTGGGCTGCAAGGATTCTTCAGTGGCTAAGTCATTTGACTCTGCAGCCAAGATGCCACTTAACTGGACTAGGATCTCTTTTTTGTTTTGCTTTTTACCTGCTTTCTGTTTCAGGTAAATGAACCTCTGCAAGTGTGACAGTGTTTTAGCCATCTCGTCGGGCTTTTCTGCTCCCTCTCTTGCTTCTCACTCCGCAGCCAAAATAGCCACTCATGGATAATCACCACAGTGTCTCCTAAGAGGATTATCCCATTCCCAAAAATAATTGTTTGGGTAGGATGTGACTCGGTCCCGAGGCTGTGATTCCCTAACCGCATAACGATCAGTCCAGCTCGGTGCTGTCTGCCCACCGAAAATCTGGGTGGATAAAAGGCATTTATTTTTGTTTTGCACACAATGCACAGAAGTCTGCTCGTGTTTCAAGTGAAGGAAATCGCTTGATATATTTCAATAGCTTGTTTCCTTTTCAAAACATTAAGGAAGAAAAAGAGGAAAATCATGCTTTCCTTCCTGTTTCAAAGGCCCTGATTAAAAGCCTTTTCTAAGGCTCTTTTGGTGGCTAGAGTAAAGGAATTTCCTCCTGCAAAGCAGTTGTTCAAAGAGATCATTCTCTTTAACTTAAATATTGATGGAATGCTTCAGTGAAGAATTTTCATATCATATCCCTCTTTTAATGTTATTATATAGAATAATAGTAAAGATGTGAGTTTTTATTCCAGACGCTTGCATTTTTCTTGATGTGATTTACTTACATCTTACATGAGCACATTTTTATGAATTTATCTGGAAAGCTTCTTCCTGCCTTCCATTTGGCTGCATTCAACTGGGACCCTAAGGCAACATGGACTTTTTGGCTGGAATACAGTGGAAAACTCTTGTGGGTTTTTGATAGAGTGGTTGGATCAAGCAGGGATCCAACAAAAGGAAGCAAAATTAAAACCTTAAGTTTCTTTGCATTTTATAACATTTCCATGTCCATATTAGTTTTAGGTGCTTGTCACAATACAGAGGCACTTGCCTGTAGTGTAAAAATCAAGAAGACATGTGAATGGAGGGAACTACCTTGAGATAGTTGAGATAACTACCTTGCTTTCAAATTAGACCATGGTCACATATCATGTGCTGGCTGGAGAGATCACCAGCCTTCCAGCTTTAATCCTCCCATGTGCCTCATCTCAACAAGATTTCCTCTCCCTCCAACTGGCAGAGCATCCTTCTTCAGTTGTGCTGAACAGTCACTCATTCCTCTCAATCACTGAATTTTTGAAGAGGAAATTAAACACCCACTCAAACACTCATCATCATCCTCATTTCTTCATTTACTAGAAGGCCTGGTCCTACATGGGGACTCTACTATGTGTAAGGTTTCCACACTGTCCCCATAATGGTGACAGATCTGGTGACCCTCAGATAGATGTAGGGATGGTACTCATGAGTGTGTGAGTTGTGTTTGAAGTTTTCTTGCATAGATTTTCTTTTTTTTTTTCTGTGAAGTTCTTTTACAGTGCCCTTCTAGGGGTAAGTGAACAATTCCAGAGTCAGAAGGACTTTCTGTAGAAGTGAAAGCAATTCTTGCTTGAGATTTCGTCAGGGATTTGAATTACTCACTAATTTGATGGAACATAAATAATTGTGCCCTTCACAGTGTCACCAGCTTAGTAGTAATGATAGAGAGACATACACGTAAAAATCAATACAGGCTTAGTCGCTACTCAGTTCACTTTGTTTCCTCATCCTCCAGGCATAATTTTGCAGAATCTTAATGCCAAATTAGGCTTAATTTTACATGAGCAACCATATAATGTTCCTCAGCTGGAAGGAAAACCATGGTGTACCAAAATGCCTAACAATGTCTGGATCAGTGATAATGCTTTGGGGTTTGCCCCGTGTCTTCCCGCTGAACAGCAGGTTCCCACACCGTCGACGGTCCCCAACTCCCGCTTCCGCCCTCGGAGAGCATGGTAATGGCACAGGAACGCCGAGGAGGCTCTTGCAAGAGCTGTCAGATGCTTGTTGCTGATTTTAAAAAGCTGCTCTCGGTTTTATGCTCTGCCAAGGATTTGTCACACCTCCCGCCAGCCAGGTGCCCACTATTCTCACTCCTGCTTTCCCTGCCGCGGAGCACGCGGCGAGTGCGTCTGCCACGGAGCCCGCCCGGGACTGACAGCTGGGAGCAGGCAGCCCTCTCTGGAGAAGGGTTGGGGTATGGGCAGGTGGGATGTGAATTTTCTGATGCTGACTTGCCAGTGTCTTTCAGCTCTGATCTCTGGGGGTCTTTTTTAGCTCCTCTTCAAGTGCTTTTCCCATCATGAATGCTTTCGGGAGAGGTCTCCAGCAGTGCTGGTGCTGGTAGAATGATTCATGTTGTTGGCTGACATTGGGCTGTTAGGTAATAAAGTCAGTAGTGCCTGGTTGTGCTTACACCGCACATGGGGCAGTCTTTGTGCTGCCAATTAGACTGTTCTGCCTCTGTTTTGCTGCCAGTGTGCTCGGCTAGGTGACCTGCCCTGAGCCCCTCACTGCTCCTCGTCCTACCTTGCGATGCTGAGGAGCACAGGGCAGGAAGGAGCTGCTCGTGTGCAAGGGCTGAGGAGACTCATGAGGCCTCAGAGAGAATGACTGTGCCCTTGTGGAAATAGGGGACTGTGAAATACCACGTTATGTGTATAGTTGATTTGCATTAAAATGGCTACTAAAGCTTTTGTCTGCCACATGCTTCAGCAAGGTCTCAGAGGAGCACCTGCAGGATGGAGCTATTGCACAGAAACATTGCTTTTCCCACCTTTGCTGTCTTTGATTTGCCCTTTTCGGTACTGTTTTGTATGTAAGCCTCTTAGAGAAGCCTTTTCCTTGTTCTTACCAGCTGCCTGCAAAGCATTAAAAGGAGTCTTCTTCCTGGATGTCAGTCCTGGGGACAGCACCCAGTACTGGAGGTTGAGTGCATTTGCCCTCTCCCATCCTGGGCATGGGTACAGTGCACAGGAGCACAGTCCTGTTTTACAGTGCAGGCAAAGGTTGTCAGAGGGAGCAGCAGCCCACACTACCCCATGTCCCGGAAAAATCTTTCAAGGTGATGAAAACCATGTTTTGTCACTCTGTCCTGTTCTCTGTGGCTGACATCAAGAATCTACACGGATCAGCAGAAAATTATTAGCACAGCACAAATAAATTACCACAGCAGAAAAGGCTCTATTAATGTCACAAAAATGGGTCTCTCATTCCCTTCCTTGTCAAAAGTGAGCACTGAAAATCAAAGTGCTACCAGATCAAAAGCCCAGGTACAAAGTGAATCTATGGCATCTGTTGCTTGTTTGTGAACGTGAGGTGGGGTGAGGGGAGAAGAGGAACCTTTGTTTATTTAAAAGAGAACGTGGAAAAAAGTCTTCCTTTTTTTCTTCTGCTTTTATATTATTAGAAAACCATAACTGAAACTCAGCACAGAGCAGAGTGTAGCCTTCGATCTCCCTCGAGGTAGGCTAGAAGTGTTCAGGCAAGTGACCACAAAAGTTTCAGGGCCTGCTGGGAACACCCTACCAAAATACAGCATAAACAGAATTGCTTTAATAATGAAAAAGGGTAGAGAATAAATATGTTCACATCTCTCCAGTTGTCCTAGGTGAAAAATCAGTGAATAACCTGTTAAAATAAACCAGCACTAAAAAAGAAGCAATCTAGATGGTGTTAGTTACCCTGTGGATCTATCACACCAGAAAGCATAATGACAAGAAAACACCATTAGCACCATGGCAGGTTTTTTCTTTTGTTTTTAACTTTAACCGTTACACCACCTGACAA